AGCAGGGCTGGGAGTGGTGGGGGAGCAAGGCGGTGGGAGGGGCAGAGCAAGGTGGGAGACAGAACGGGGGAGGCGGGCAGAGCGGGAGTGGAGACTGCCGAGTCGAAGAGCAGCCCCGAACAGCCCTCCCCGCTTCCTGTTCACAGAGACTTCAGCAACAACGGGACCTCCCAGTGGTGAGTGGATACTCTCCAAGTCCTCTGACACAGCCTCTCCCTGCCCTTGGCCTAGAGCTGCCAGAGGCCAGCAGCCCAGGGCCCAGCAGAGAAGGTGGTGGTGCCCATTGGGGAGGGGGCCTGTGAGGCAAGGTGGGCAGTGAAGGAGAAGGCTGGAGGGGGCAGGGAAGCCCTTTACTCCCCAGGGACCAAGGATGCCTCATCAGGTAGATGCCCTTCTTTTCTTGTGTGATTCCCACCAGCCCAAGATGACCTAGGACGCACAGGTCATTTCCAGAGACCTCACCTTAAAGCATCTGGCTTCCCACTCTTCCCCAGGAGCATGTGTCAGACCCCAGGCCCAGGAGAATAGGAGCTGGTGCCCCCTGGCTCCCTGCCAGAAGAGAGGGGCCAGCAAGGCCTGTGGGCTTTGTAGGGTAGGCCCTGCACTAGGGCTACTGCTGGTCAGGGAGTCTGTGCAGTGCTCAAGGCTCAGGCTCTCTGCTGGGACAGGGAGCAAGCAGGGTTTGGGAGAGCAGCTTTTATGAAGAGTGTGTATTAATGTTAACAGGAATGCAGTTAGTCATTATTAGCTACCAGGTGTGGAGTTCCTACTGTTTGTCAGGTGCTATACAAGGAATTTTGTGTATTTTTCTTTTTTAATGTTTATTTATTTATTTTGGAGAGAGAGCGCAAGCAGGGGAGGGACAGAGGGAAAATCCCAGGCAGGCTCCATGCTCAGCCTGGAGCACGATGCAGGGGCTCGATCCCACAACCGTGAGATCATGACCTGAGTTGAAATCAGGAGTTGAACACTTAATTCGCTGAGCCACCCAGGTGCCCCTGGTATCTTTAATTCTTAAAATGTGGGTATTGTTATCCCATTTTACAGATTAGGAAACTAAGGTTCAGAGAGGTTAAGAGAGACTTGCCCAAAGCCCAGAGATGGCCAGTATGGCCTGCCTGGCTCCCTTGTTACTATGCCCACGGCCGCTATTGTCTACTGGGAGATGCCTGGGATGTACATGCTGCCTTTTACAAGGGCCTCATTTATCCCCTGATGTGACCAGAGGGAAGCTCCCCAGTGATGGGGGAGAGGCGGGCATCAGGAGAGGAGTAATGGCTGCTGAGCTGCTGGTGTGAGCAGGGGCTGAGACAGGGCTGCCAGCTGAGGCGGCTTCCTGGAGGAGGCATTACCTCAGGCAAAATTTGAGCGGGAGGTTAAGGAGAAGGGGGAGTAGTAGAAGGAAGACAAAGGCCTGAGGGGGCCTCTGAGCCTGCCATGAGGTGCCAGGCATCTGCCTCCTGCCTGCAGCCCTGAGCATGCGACCAAGGTGGCGCTGAAAGTGGTGACGCCCATCATCATCTCAGTCTTCGTGCTGGCCCTGTACCTGCACGCCCAGCAAGTAGAGTCCACCGCCCGCCTGGACTTCCTCTGGAAACTGCAGGTGGGTGGCCCCGGGACTGGAACTGGGATGGGGGACACACCCAGTCCTCGCCGCACTTTGTGAGTGAACGAGTTCATCACCTGGGCTAGCTGAGCCTTCGTCCTGCACTGAAAAGGTGTCCTGCTCAGTCCCACTAATCTGTGCCCCATGTCCCAGCAGGTCTGCTCCCTGCTTTCTGGAGCCAAGAGACAAAACCCTGGAGCTTATTCCAAACCATCCCACCCTTGACAGCACTGGGACTTTGACAGGCCCAAGACATATGGTCTTAAGTCACAAATATTGGCCAGCCATTGCTGTGTGCATCCAGAGGCAGGGACAGAGGGGAGGCATGGCCTCTAGTCTGTAGTGTGGGCAGCGAGGAGTCAGGAGAGAGGGGAGCGGGCAGGAGGTGAGGACTGTGGGACGCGCAGTCCCCATGTCACAGAGGCTGCAGTGCAGGAGCTGGTCCCGCAGGCTCCTGAGCAGGGCCTGATGTGACCAGAACTGGCTTGAAGACTCTTCCAGGGGAGAAGGGATGGAGGGGGCATCAAAGACCATCAACCGGAAGCCTGGACAGGTGGCTGTGCCCTGGCCCTGGGGAGAGGTGGTCCAGGTAGGGGCAGAGGCAGTAGGGTGCTAGTGCCCAGGGAAGTGCTCCAGCCTCCAGGCTTTGTGCCCTGTGCCCTGATGGTGTCAAAACCCGGAGGAGGGGATGCCACTGGGCCACACACAGGGTGATGCTCCAGGTGCTAGTGATGGACCCAGCCGCTGCTTGTTACCTGCTGGACCGACTCAGAAGGTCCAGGAGAGGGCGCCCACGGTGAGAAAGTCTTCCCTGTGGGCAGCCTCAGACCTGTTATTCCAGTTACTTCATTCTTAAAGATGGGAGCATCCAGTGGCCCCTGCTGTGTTTTGCAGGAGGTTGGCTGAGATTCCCCACTGAACGGATGTCCTGAGGTTGGGGGAAAACTTTTGCATGTGGAATGCCCCCTTATCCTCCCTGGGTTGGGAGGGACCCGGAGGATATCCAGTGTGAGGCCATACCTTCCTGGCTCAGATTGCTGCCTCCCTGCCTCCTCCCAGCTCTCATGCCCCTCATGCCTCTGGGGAGCTTCCCCAGAGGCCCCAGCTCTCTCCTAGGGGCTGACCAGGCTCTGTGGGACCTGGGCTGATTTCCCTCCACTTCTCTGCTCACTAGCACCCCACCTCCCATGTGAGCCCCGAGGAAGTCCCCCACCCCCAAGACAGTGGTTGTCCTGCCACTCATTTGTGTGGCAAAGATCTCGAGAAAGGGCTGGAAGCAAGGGACAGGTGAGCCTGCCACTTAGCCTGCCTTTGTGACCTGCTGCCCTGTCACCCCACCCCGCTTCTTTGTCTAGCTCCTGAGTACGCAGGGTTGAAGTGAGGCTGCCTGCCAGGGCTGAACAGAGCAGCCTGAGCTTCCCTCACAACCCCACCCCAGTGTTCAGGCAACCGCAGCTCCCCTCCCATTTTGAAAACAATTAAGGCCTGTACACAGGTGTGTGGGTTGGGGGTGAGCATGTCTCTACCTGGCAGGCGTGTCAGCCTCTCTCCACTGAACCCCTGCAACAGGCTCATGATGCTTACACGTCCCTTCATCACCCGTCCTCCTCCAGGACTTTTGGGAGGTGGAACAACATCAAATACATACCAACAAGCAAAAACCTGAACACACATCCTTGGGTTGGGTGAGTGATAGTCGGGTGCTCCCCACCCCTCCAGTCTAACTCAGCAGCTAATTTTGCTGTTGGATCTAAGGTCATGGTGGGTAGGTGTGGTGCTGGCAGTGAGCTGGGGAAGCCCGAGGTCCTTCGCTTCCCTGAAGTGTCTGTACCAGGAACACACCCTTACCCGCAAGCCTGCCCCTGGCCAGACCACTGGGTCTCAGGTCTTATCCCTCTCCCATAGCATTGACCTTATTAGGATCAGCAAGGGGGCTGTGGACCCCTGAGCCCTCCCACCTGGCCAGAGCCCAATCCTAGAAGCAGTTGGCTGTGTTGGGAGCTGCCCAACATCACGTCTCAGGGCAGAGTTGTCCAGATGTGGCGGGAGTTCCTGGTCAGAACCCTGGGGCCTTGGCCTGTGCTCCCTGCAGTAACCAGTCTCCGACTATCTCAACCCCAGCCTCCACCACCAGCTGCCTGGCACTGGGCAGATGCACTCTGGGAAGGGCATGTGTTATGTTTCTGCCACTGCTGGGCTGATCAAAGGAGCTAGAGTGCTCCTGGGCCCCCAGGCATGTGGTCTCAGCAGTAGTAGCACTGTGGGCAGCCTGTGCATTTTCCGAGGCAGATGGCCCGGCTGGGGCTCTTCCAGGGAGTAACCTTCGAGAAGCACAGAGATTCCCACTCTGGCCTACTCCCGCTGGCACACCTGTACCAGAGCTAGGCAGAGGGTGGCTTGGGAGGAGGGGCCTGATCAAGGCATCTCAGAAGCAAAGGTCTCACTGCACCCACCTGGCATCTCAGGATCCAGGAACTTCCTTAGGCATAACCCCTATTGTCAAGGCTGTGTTTCCAGTGGCTCTAGGACTGATGGGCTGTGGGTCCTCTCACCTCAGGTGCAAGGCTAGGCCTCTGAGCCCTGGGGTCCCTGAGCTTTCTACCCTAACTGCTGGACCCAGGTCCTGTGGCTTTGGGTGGGTGTGCCAGCAGTTTCCCCATGAGCAGCCACCATCCACAGGGAGAGCCAGGGAAGTGGTCCTGGTGCTTTTGGAGGTTGTAGCTGCAGCCAAATAGAAAGGCCTCCACGTTTAGTTAGGAAAGCCCCCAGCAGGCTGGCTAGATCTTTTCAATGGCCCTGCTAATGACCCTTTACCTGCCTGTTTTACCAACATGATCACTCCCAGTTAAGGGGGCCATTTTGTTTGCCATCAAGGGGGAGGAAGCTAGCAGACTGCACTGTGTACCTCCTGTGTCACATGAACTCTGGTCAGATGGCTCCTTGCACACCTTGGTGCATAACTGTCTCTGCTCTTCAGGCTGTGGGTCACTGTTGGCCTCTTGATTTGAGGGCTCTTAAGCTAGAGGGTGAGTGACCACAAACCCCTATTTCCCAGACCCAGGGGAACCAAAGTCAATGGTGATGTGCCCATCCCACCCCTGGTGGCACTTTGGGGTATCTGTACCTCCTGGCCCTGGGGTGAGTCTGCTCTGGTGGGAACCAGGGAGATTGGTGGGGCTTTAAGCCATCGTCCCAGTGGGGTTGGTCTATTAAGTGATCCTTATCAAACTGCTTTTCTGATTGTACTTCCTGATATGAAGAAGAAAGTGGACAATTGTGGAGCACTTGGTAGCTGGAGGGCCACTGGGGCTGTAGTTTTGGCCATCCCTGTAACCCCCTGCCTTGGTCTAGCTTTGGTTGGACAGGATGCTCTCAACCTGTCTTCCAGGACCCGTTTCCAGCCCGGGGTTCCCTCCTTCGGGGCCAACACATTCCGAGGGGCAGGCAGGCAGAGCCCAGTTGGATGTGTACAAGTGTCTCACTTTTCTGGTGCTTCCTCATGGAAAGCCAGAGGTGGGGACAGCAGGGGGACAGAGGCTGGGCACAGTGGAGGTCTCGGGTGCATGCGGGCAGGCCGCATGCCTCTCCTGACCGGGTGCCGTGTCCTAGGCCACGGAGGAAAAGGAGGAGATGGAGGAGCTGCAGGCCTACAACCGGCGGCTGCTGCACAACATCCTGCCCAAGGATGTGGCCGCCCACTTCCTGGCCCGCGAGCGACGCAATGATGAGCTCTACTACCAGTCGTGTGAGTGCGTGGCCGTCATGTTCGCCTCCATCGCCAACTTCTCTGAGTTCTACGTTGAGCTGGAGGCCAACAATGAGGGTGTTGAGTGCCTGCGACTACTCAATGAGATCATCGCCGACTTTGACGAGGTGCGACGGGTGGGCAAACAGGAGAGGGGCGGGGGAGACAGGCACCTTGCCTACATTTCTTCCTCTATTGTGTTACAAAGGAGAAAACAGGCCTAGAGACACTGCTTGCCTAAGGTCAGTGCTAGTAGGTGGAAGAATGGGGGTCCCAGCCCAGGCGTTTGGAATTTGAAGTCTCTGCGGGTCTGTTGTCCCACTGAGGCCCTGCCCAGCTACCTTGCCAGCCACTCTCCATCAGCCACCATTCCTTTCCCACCAGGCTGGGGCCCAGCCTTTGAGGGAGTCCAAGGAAGGAGGGACTCCTAGGCTAAGGGAGAAGGCAGGACAAAGACACAAAGCCCGGAATAGCAGAGGTGGAAACACAAACGTGTCTTATTTACTACACCCTCGCCAAGCACCTAGTGTGTGCCAGGTGCTGGGGGTTCTGTGCCCAATAGGGCATTTCGACCCTGGGAGCCCCCTGAGTGGTGAGGGTGAGAAGGTCAACCCCAGCTGGAATACAGAGCCTTGGGAGGAGGAAGAGGAGGATGGAACTGGGAACAGGCTGTGCTGGAAACAGCCCATGAGGCTCCTGGGGCAGAGCGTAGCTGGAATTGACTGAAGTTGGGTCTGGGCAGGCTTTTGACAGACAATGGAGATAGAAGGTGGGTGTCTCGTTGGACAAAGATGAGGTGGTGTCCCTGGGAGGGATGGGGATATGAGCCAGGGAAGGGAGGAGATGGCCACCAGCCCCTGTTGGGGGCAAGAGACGCTGAGGTGACTAGTGGGCTGGCCTGGGGCTCTTGGTGCAGGGCAGACAGTGACTCACGGTGACCACACACGGGTAAGTATGGGAGGAGGCCTGCTCTGTTGGCCTCACACTGAGCTGGTGTGGAGTTGGGCCTCCTGTGTGAACTGGGAGGACATGAGGGGCCATGCTGTTGCCCTTCCCCCATAGACTTCAGTGCCCCAGCCTTGGTGGTAACCCAGGTTTGGCCTCCTTCCATCTAGATCATCAGCGAGGATCGGTTCAGGCAGCTGGAAAAGATCAAGACCATTGGCAGCACCTACATGGCTGCCTCAGGCCTCAATGACTCTACATATGACAAGGTGGGCAAGACCCACATCAAAGCCCTGGCTGACTTTGCCATGAAGCTCATGGACCAAATGAAGTACATCAATGAGCACTCCTTCAACAACTTCCAGATGAAGATCGGTGAGCTTGCCTTCTGGCCAGTCCAGCCTGGGAAGAGCAGGTCGGGTAAAAAGCTGCAGGGCCTTGACAGGACTGGAGAGGAGGGTCGTGGAGGGAAGGGTCTTAAGGACTGACGGTGTTTCTATTTGGGAGCTTCTGCTATGTTTGCAGTCCTACTTCACACACAACAGTGAGGTTTAATGTGGCCCCATGTGAGAGAGGAGGGGGAGCGCCCAGGGGCTTGGAAACACGGCAGAAAATGTCTAGACAGTGTCAGTTAAGCCAGGTGTGTTGGGTAAGGTTCTTGCTTGAAGAGGAGGGAGGATATTTGAGGTGGGGAGCCAGCATGGCAAAGGCTGAGGGGCAGGGTGATCGGGGTTGGTGTGCCTAGGACCAGGAAGGTGGACAGATGAGAGCAGAAGTGCCAGGAGGGAGATGGCAGCCTTGCTTCCTGGAGCTGGGTCATGGTGGCCTCCCTGCCTGAGCTCAGACGCCCAGGGGAGGATCACCTGGACAGAGAAGACACTGTGGGTTAGGAGCAAGGTACTAAGAATGAAAATGGTTGTGCCCCTGAAAGAAACAGGAGTGATGAGGAAGAAAAGGATGAGTTCTGGTACGTGTGGTTAGAATGAACTGAAAGCTGAAATGCCACCAACAGGGATGATTAAGGACAGGCAGTGGGATGCTGCAGTGAGTCACTTGATCCTTGAAGAGGGTGGTCCTGGTGATGGACTTGCAGGAGCTGAGACCTGATTGGGGGCGAGGACACAGGAACAGTGCTGTGTGAACAGACCCCATGGTCTGGGTTGGCAGGCATTTCGTGGGAACTGCAGGGTAAAGCATGGTCTCGGGCCTGGAGGACACTGGCGGTCTTCAGACTGAGTCCAGAGGAACTTGCTGAGTGTCAAGGGAGGAATGATAGTGTGGTGAGCACTGGTCTGAGCCCTGATGACATTGCTGACTTCTGTCCCCTGCAGGGCTCAATATTGGCCCCGTGGTGGCTGGGGTGATCGGGGCTCGCAAGCCTCAGTACGACATCTGGGGCAATACGGTGAACGTGGCCAGCCGCATGGACAGCACCGGTGTGCCTGACCGCATCCAGGTGAGTGCCGGAGCATCCACCACCCGGCTCACCCCCATGGGGGCCTCTGCCTGATACTCCAGGTTCCTAGTGCAAGCTGCCCACAGTCCCCAGTCAGAATTTCTGCAGCCAATTTTGAAGGTAGCTGGCACTGTCTCGGGAGCTTGGAGATCATTGTGTTTCAGGCCCTCAGGACCTTGGACAGATCTTCACTCCTGTGCAAAGCCCTCTACTGGCCACAGAAGGAATTGGGGGAGTAAAGGCAGGAGCCACTGCTGATGCTAAACCAGGAGTGTTAATGCCACGACCCAGGCATACAAGGGGACACCAAGATGGTTTCAGGGAGCAAGGTCTTGCCAGTTGGAGCCCACAGCACTCAGGGCCTGGTGCAATAGAACCAGGGAAGGCCAGTGATCCCTGGGATGGTGCTCCCACCACCCTAGTTGCCAAGGGGCCTGGCCAGAGACCCAGAGACTTTTTCTCCTCTCTTCATCCTGTGCAAGCTGGCTCTTGCAATTCCCAGGCCTACCTCTCTTCAACTGCTTTTGTTTTTCTTAGACTGCCCTTAATTCCTTCTGCTCCCGTCTGACAACAGTGAGGTCCTGGATTGGGCTGTATTCCTTCCTGTACCTCTCAACCCCCAGGGCCCCCATAAGTCCTGCCATAAGTGGGCAGGTCACTTAGCCTCCCTGATCTGTCTTCCCAAGCTTGAACTCTGCTCTCTTCATGGCCCTTTGCTCACACTGACACTGCCTAAATGTCCCTTAAATCCTCTCTTCTGTGGGACCTCTGAACAAAGGGTCAGCCCAAGCATGGCCCTGGCCTGATAGGTGCTGTTGGAGGAACCTGGCCAAATGGCTTTCTCTCACTTCTATCCCTGTGCCAAAGGGAGAAGGGACAACAAGATGGCAGCTGGGGAGAAAGGAATGTGTGTTTGCAGAGTGTCCGACCCCACCCACAGACAGGTGTGAGGGACTCTGTCAGCAGCCACACAGCGGCCCGGCACCTCACCTTTGCATAGGGCTTTCCCATTCGTGGAACACACGTGATAACCCAGTAGGGTCACCTTCCAGCAGCCCATCTAGAGATTTCTGGCCCCTTCTTCCCTGGCCTGACAGCCAGGCAGGGCCAGGATCCTCAGCAGAGGTTTTGTGGGGTGGCTGGCGGGGCGTGTGGGCTGTACTCAGACGGCTTTTGGGTCACTTCATGAAGCATTCATCTGTATTGCTGCTCACATCAGCCCTACAATAGTGCAGTGATTACTGAAGCCACTGGTGAGTTCCCCTCTTTGTTCCAAAAGCTAAAGCAGAGATGGGCACTAGGATATAGAACTGAATCCACACTCTGCCATTTGTTAGCTATGTAGCCTCAGACAAGTGATTTAGGTTTCCTGAGGCTGAGATAACAGTATTTACCTCATAGATTCAGTGAGATAAACAGTGGCTCTCCATCTGTGGTGTGAAAAACCAATTTCCAGGAACATCGCTGATCTGTCCTGGAGCGAGACTTGGGTGGACACGCTGGGCCCATGCTTGGTATCAGTGGGGCAGCGTCAGAATGCTGTGGATGCCCTAAGCAGTTCTGCTCAGCTTCTGCACCTCTCTCATTGTGGACAATGACAGGCAGTTCAGGGACCACAGGCCACCCTGCCTGGCACAAAGTAGGTGCTGTCATCCTTCTTGTTTCAAACAGGCAAGTCTAGGGGCAAGCAGCTGTCAGGGTGCCACCCACCCTTGTGTGTTGGGGACAGTCGGACAGAGCTGCCTGACAACAGGCTCACGGCTTGGCTCAACAATGGCCTATCCACTCCCCTTCTTTGCCTCCTCAGGTCACCACAGACATGTACCAGGTGCTGGCTGCCAACACATACCAGCTGGAGTGCAGGGGCGTGGTCAAGGTCAAGGGCAAAGGAGAGATGATGACCTACTTCCTCAACGGTGGGCCCCCGCTCAGTTAGCAGCTGCCAGCCAGTGATGCCAGGCAGCCTGGCCTCCAGAGAAACGGAAATGGCTTCTTTGTATGACGGAGGGGGGGCAGGTGGAAGCCTGCGCTCTAGCCCACGTGGCTGCGCCGGTGAGATTCTCCACTTTGACTCCAGAAGCAGCTTCTGCCTTTGTGGGCAGGCCGCAGCCTCCGTCCCAGGCCCCAGGGTGCCAGCGTCCTGCGAGCACCAAGCTGACCAAAGATGTTTCCTCCGTAGAAGACTCCGCTAGGCGCGATCCGAATCCCGAGTTTTCTAACGGATGCTGCTGCGCAGGTGGAAAGGAGCTGCTGAGTGTGCAACGACAGAGCTGAGGGGGAGGCCTCAGCCTCGGGTGGGTGGGTCGGTCGGCGGCCCAACTCTGGCCCAGGGTAACCCAGCGGCCCCAGGGGTCCACTTCCCTGTGTGAGCCTTTAAACCCCTGACAGAGGCCACGGCCCCTGCCCCATGGAGGGGCTTGCTGGCAGGAGTGCTGGCTCTGGAGGGACTGCGGCCTTCTCCGCAGCCCTCCTCCTCACCTACATAGGTGGACAACGCCTCTTGGAGGGGAACAGAACAAATTGTGAGGGGGAGGCGAGAAGACGCGAGGCAAGGAGGGGTGGTTCTGAGAAAAAGAAAATATTTATTAAATAAAACAACTTTCTGTGCCCTTCTTTAGACTATGCTAGTTGTATGCGTATAAGAGACCCACAAGCAAACAAAGATGCCACTGGTGGTTGGGGGGAGGGCAAGGATCCCAACTTGTCTTTTTTGTATTTTTTATTTTGTATTATTGAAAACCTTGGAGATCTAACAAATATACCAAATTCTATATTTTGTAAACTATATTAGAAAACAGCTGTGCACAGCGTTTGTACTGTACGTGTGTCAGCGTATGTACTGGTGTAGATGTGTGTGTGTTTATGCCGTGGAACTGGTCACATGCAGGATGCCTCTTGCCCTCGCTTCACTTCAGATTAGGCAGTTTTGGGTTTTCCCAGGTCCAACCAGAGCAGTGAGCGTGTCCTTTTGGGGTGCCCTACAGTCAGATTAAATGGGAAGGTGCATGTGTACATTACCCCATCTCTCTAACACATCACTTCCCCTAAGTAAAATGCAAATGGATAATAAAACAAAAACTGCCTTCCCATCTCAGGCTCAGGTGGAACCAAGGGAAGCAGCCTCAGCCTGCAACAGACAGCACGGCCCCTGTCCCCTCTTCTCCCTGAGATGCCAACCATTTGCTGCCTGCAGAGAGGCAGCTGTGAGTGCTCAGGGATGGCCGCAGGTGCTCAGCTGGTGGGGTGGGGGGGGGGGGCAGTGGTGGTGGGAAGCCTTACCTGCCTACCTTTCTCAGTTGGCTACCGTGCAGGTGGCTCGCCCAGAGATAGTGCCTCAGACTTGGGGGTAATGTGCAGCCCTCAGGTTCAGGGAGGGTGGTGGCTTTGCTCTTCATCTGCAGACCAGAGAAAAGGATAGAGCCTTCAGCGTCCAAAGGGCAAAGCTAGCAGAAATTTTGTTTTGTCTGGTTTTTGGTTTTTTGGGAGGTGGAAGTGAAATATATTGGAAAAAATTATATTTGTTATATCCTCTGAGGGTATAAAATGGAAACGGGCTTAAAACTGAAAAATGATATATTATCATAGGGATATATTCAAACAGAATCCTTGGGTCCTGTGCCCACATCTTTTTGTTGCTTCTCAGGGCAGAATTATTCTCACCTCTAACACGAGCTTGAAGGAGGTAGGGCGGCAGCTATATGCCAACTGCAAAATGTTATTTTGATCCCCATCTGCACCACCTCTCACTGGACACTAGCACCGGCCTCCCCTTTTTTCTTCAGTATATGTGCTGCCGAAGCGAGCTCCCCTTTCCACACACCATCTCTCACCCCAATTTGAACACAGCTCTGAGAAGCAAAGTTTACGGACCTAAAAGTGCCAGCTCAAGTCTGTCCACGCTTCTGCTGCTCTGTCCTTTGAGTTCTGCATTGCCCCTCTTGCATCTGTTGGGGGGACTGGCTTTCTCCATGGTGGCATTCTCAAGTCCCCGGCCCCTCCATAGCACCCACCAGTGGTGCTAGGTTTTAATTTTGCTTCCAACCTGAGTAACGTGTGCGTGCTGAGTTCCTCCGGTGGTTCCCCCCATTGGTTACGGTCTCCTTGGCCTCTCGGGGGCCCATCCCTCCTATCCCAGCAGTGACTGGCAACACCATGCAGTGCTAGCTCTTCATTCCCTCCAAGGGTGTGCACTCTTTTTATTCCTGCTCTTGCAAAAACAGATAGGATTATGATTTCCCATGGAAATTGAAAAGTCTATTTAAATAATTTAACTATTAAACACTTTCACTGGTAATGTGTCCTGGTCTGATTTGTGGCTTGGGCCAAGGGCCTGGTTCCAGTCTGAAGAACAGTGCCCTCGGCTCTTGCTGGGGCACTGGGCAGGGAGCCCCAGAGGGCAGAGACCTACCTTGAGTGGGGAACAGCACGCTGCTACGGGGAGAATGTCGGCGAAGGCCTGCAGTCATTGTGGCAGTCAGGTGAGACAGCATTGGTGACCTTGGCGAGAGTTAGTTCACTGGGCTGAGGAGCAGGTTCCAGAGTGCAGCGGGCTGAGGAATGAGGAGGTGAGAGACACCAGGAGTGAAGGGACAAGGGATTTAGGATGGGACCAGAAAAGATGCAGGGTTGAGGGGAAGAGGTTTTAAAACAAGTGAGCCCAACTCATTTCTATGCTAAGGGAAAGAAAGTTGAAAATACAAGAACACAGATCATTGAAAGGACCCAAGTAGCAGGGAGGACAGGGAGATGCAGGCTGAAAGTGTACTGATTGGACTTGGGCAGCTAATAACCGTGGCTACCATTTACTGGACACTATGTGCCAGACACAAGGATAAGCATCACACAAACTTCATCTCATTTAATCCTCCTGGCCACCACATTTCACTGATGAAGAGATACAGAGAGGTTGAGTTACTTGCCTAAACTCCTACAACTGGTAATTAAGAGAGAAGAGATTCAGAGCAGGCCTGTCTGCTAAGCTCATACAGGTAGCTTCATGCATGCCCCAGGACTCCTCTTACCTCTAGAGGAAAGGAAAGGTGGCAGAAAGGCAGTTCCTGTCGGCCGCACCCATCAAATGCAGGGCTATATTTGGGCTCAGGAAATAAAACCAGAGAGATCTGGTCAAGTGAAAATGAAGGAGCCAGTGAAAAAGACTTCACTGGGTTTATTTCAACAATGGCCACATGGAGACATAGCCATGGCAGTCCTGGTCATAGGCAGGTCCCCTGCTCCAAAGAATTGAATAGCATTAGCAATCCCACTGTCCATGGTAAAGGATGCAATGGTATAGAGCTCATGTTTAACTCTGAGAACTTTTCAGGCTAGGGTACATCAATTAGAAAAGGAAACCAAATGAAAAGGCCAAGCTTTAGGCTGACTGGACTAAGTGAGGGCAAGTCCTCAGGCAGGTCCATGGCACCGGATGCGCATGCATGCACACCCAACACACAGGACAGCAAAGGAATGCAACTCATAACCTTCATAAGCCCTTCCCATTCCCATCTCCATTGAACTAATTCCAGAGAACGTATCTGCTTCTCCCTTATAGATTTATACTTTTGTGCAAAAGCATATCCAAACCTAGAATGTTAATTAGCAAAACTTATTAGTAAAGACACATGTGTGATGAGTTTTGAACACCGCTTTAACATCCGTTGACAGTGTGCCCGCAGAAGGCAGTATATTATGGGGGCCTGGCAGGCTCAGTCGGTTAAACATCCAACTTCAGCCCAGGTCATGATCTCACAGTTCCGGAATTCCAGCCCTGCATCAGGCTGTCTGCACTCAACAGAGTCCGCTTCAGATCCTCTGTCCTCCTCTCTCTCTCTGCCCCTTCCCCCTCCCCCCCCAACTTGTTCTCTGTGAAAATAAATAACCTTAAAAAAAAAAATCCACTGACAGCAAAGACCATTAAAACCAAGACCAGACTTCAGCCAACATGCTGATGATCTGATTTGGGGGTGGGGGTGGGGGAGGGAGATTAGCAATGTTTATGGGAAGGCACAGTGAAGCTTGGTGCACTGAGGGAGCTGAAGCTACATATTCACCAGATAGTCCTGTTACTTTAAGACTTTCAAAAACACAAATACATTTACAGAACTTTTCCAAAAGCAGATTATCACCTGAGTGTCATACAGTTAAATGATGCCCAGAGCTATAGTTTTTACATGATAAAATGTGCCTATTTTCCATAATGTTGCAAGCTGGCCATGAGTTGCTAATTAGCAGAAAGCGAGCCTCCAGAGCTTGGGAAAGATGCTGAATCCGTATCATTTCAGGACAGGAAAGCATTCTTGGGCGCTGGGATGCACAATGCTCAGAAGTAGCGCTGAGCAGATTCTCACTACCAACTGAACAACAGAGCAGCAGTGGCAGGGACACACACTATGAAAACTCCCCACTTTTGAATTTGTCTAAATCAATGATGTACAGGTTGTCTCTAGAAGGAAGGGACTGGAAGTCTAGGCCATGCTGGCCATGGCAAGTATCACCTAGCAGAGGGGTCAGGAGGAGAGCTGGAGGGCTTGTGTTTTCTATGGAGGAGGTACAGAGAGGGCACGGCAGACCAAAGAATACCATGCCCTCCACACCCTGCCTTTGGATGAACTTAATCCAAAGTGTATAAAGAGCTTTCCTATACATTTTCTCACTTGTGCTTCCTCCCTGGCCCAGGAGGCAGTGGGAGAAAGACCTGGTGCATGTCCTGAGGCTGCTCTGATCCTCAAGGATAAAAGCTGTGGCACTTCTGTGCCCACAGGCACTTCTGTCCAGTGCACTGATCTGGCTGGGTCCTGATGATCTTGCAGGGATACAGGGCTTGCCACTTCTCAAGGTTGGCAGCAGGTGAAATGAGGTCCGCTTACTATAAGTACTATAGCTTTTCTTGGCCACTCAGATTTTCACAAAAGCCCTTTAGTGTTTTTTTGTTTTTTT